ATATATATATATACACACACACACACACACACACACACACTCATGCAAATATTTGCATATATGTGTGTGTGTGTATATATATGTTTCCCAAATATATCTATATATATATACACACATATACATATACATGTATATATGCATATATGTGTGTGTGTGTGTGTGTGTATATACACACACATATACATATGCATATATACCTGCATATATATGTGTGTGTATATATATATAATATTTCTCACATTATGTATACATGTATATATAAAACACACACACACACACACACACACATATGCATATATATATATATATATAAAAACTGACATATGAGGATGCGTCTCTGTGTATGAATTGATACACACACACAGCACTGCACCTTTAATAGCAAACTCCAACTTGATATGCTGCTAAATAGCATTTCTTGTCCTAGGATACTATTTTCACACTAGCAGCAAATATGACCTTTGTGTATGGCTGCCAGCTGCTTATAATTTTGACAGATGCAAGCACATTTCTGGAAAGCGGTAGCCATTCAGTGGCTAAAGATCAACAGGCTAGGCTCAGGGCTTTAGTGAGATTGATTGGCTCAGGAGAATCCCATTTGCAGACCTAGCTGAGAATAGGTTTGCCATGGTGAGGCGTTAATGACTTCGATATCAATGATCTAAATATGTCAACCTGTGACTGTGTTGGTATTAAAGAACACTATATTTATACAAAACAGCAATTAGCGGAATGCTAATTAATGTGATGCCGTTTCCAAGTAAATTGAGGAACTTCCAAGTGGTGTAATGCTAGACTTTATAGTAATCCCTCTGGAATTTCAGAGCTGCCAGAGCGCTTGGTCATTCCTCAGGACTATCCAGATTTATTTTTGCTGACATTTCAGATAGCGCCCTCGGGTTAAAAATACCCGCTGTCAGCTCGCCCAGAGAAAGAGTACCACGGAGTCAAGGCTGGATTGGTGCCCCTGAATATTTTCTAAATGCTCTTAAAAGCTAAGGAAACTTTAATCTGGGCTCTAAAGAGCCTAACCATGTTACCTGGCAAAGGGGTTCTTCTCCACACAGTAACACCGGCGAGCACAGCACAGCTAACTTAAATAGCTAGGAAAGATGGATGGTTGCATAAAGAAATACAGCAGTATATCAGTCTGCGGAAAGGAGCAAGCATGGTGCCACTGTCTCTTGGACAAATGCTGAACCGAGATTGGAATTAATGCAGTGGATGAATGGGGGTGTATGCAAAACTCCAGCAGTGCACACACCCAAACACGTGCAGTGAGCCAGGGGGTGCGAATAGAAAGGACATTTTATTTTTCTTATTTGACTGAGAAGAAACTCAGGGCCCAAGGATGTCCTAAAGTGTTTGCACAGCTTCTTCCTTATGTAATTTTTAGGTGGTGAAAAGGTAGCAGATATGCAGACCAAGGCCCTGGTCCTCTTCATCCCTGAGACAGGTGCAGCAGCAGGTCTCACGGGGCTCTGCCAACCTGCCCCAAAGCTCTGACATGAATGCCCTCATTCTGCAGGTCAGGTTCATTTTCCATGTCCATTTGCTCCTTCAGTTAGTTAGCAAGGGTGCCAAGAAGTGCCCTTTTATTAGTAAATAAACCAACACTAATAATTCATTTTAAATAGGTCACCACGTACCCTCCCCGACAGCAATGCTGGGCCAGAAGGCTTAATAGGGAAGCTTCCCTACCTGCTTCCCAGTTCCATAATTGTTTTGAAGCAGGAGCTGGTCGATCAAAAGATATTGGATTCACCCACATAACCTTGTCTGCCTTCAAGTAGGTGCTATCTTCTAACAGAGAATCTCCTTTTCCATGAAGAATGCCCCGTAACTTTAACGGGACATCTGAAACATGCAGCCAGCGGCTGGGAACTTTTTGCAGTAGGGGGGGAAAAAGGGAGCAGAGATTAACAGACTTTTTTGTGGCTGAAAAACCTGTCCAAGCACACATAAATCATAGAGTCATAGACAGTGAGGGTTAGCAGGGAGCTCAGGAGGTCACATCTAGTCTAACCCCCTGCTCCGAGCAGGACCAGCCCCAACTACATCATCCCAGCCAAGGCTTTGTCTAGTTGGGTCCTCAGCACCTCCAAGGATGGAGACTGCACCACCTCTCTGGGTAACCTGTCCCAGTGCTTTACTACCCTCTCCATGAGAGTTTTTTCCTAATATCCAACCTCAGCTTCCCTTGCTGCAGCTTGAGCCCATTGCTCCTTGTCCTGTCATCTGCCCCCACTGAGACCAGCCCAGCTCCATCCTCTTTGCAACCCCCGGCAGGGAGTTGAAGGCTGCAATTCAATCCTCCCTCGGTCTTCCCTTCTGCAGACTAAATCAGCCCACTTCCTTCAGCCTCTCCTCACCAGTCACGTGAGATATGAAAGTAACGCTTCACCAGTTGGCTACTGAAGTCGGAAGAATGACCAGCTACATTTTCGGGGCTCAGAGGAGTGCTCCTACACTCAGACATTTCTCTCACTTCTGGCTGCACAGCTTTGCCCCATGGGATAGCTGGGGGGGATGCGCAGATCTAAGAATATCCGTATCTCCATTGTGCTAATGAGCAGCAGAGGCCTATTTGCTGCTTCTTGCTGCCTAACAAACTACTTAGAAGATGTTTTTTTTTCCAAGAGAGCAGCTAATAAGGCTCTCACTCTTGGGGCAGGGGAAGCACAGTGCTGAGATGCATTAGCGCTGCTGTCGTGTCAGTGGCTGAGGCTAAGGCTGTTTGTGCCACAAGCTGCAACACCGGGATTAGCAACAGACTCCATGGTGAAGGGAAGAGTGACCTCCTTAATTACCGTTCCATGTACAGTGCAATTAAAATTAGATGCAAGTCTAAGCCTTCAGAGGTTGATCCCAGGCAGCAGGAGTGCACAGACCCGGGTGGTAGCCTGGGCCCATCTCTAAAAACATCCTCCACAGGGGAAAGGGTAATGAGATCTGGCTGGCAATCAGACCAGCTTAGCTGACGAGAAATGCCCAATTGCTTTCTTGGATCGTGGCAAAGGTGCTAGTGAAATTTTGCACGGTTGCTTTCACGTTCGCTTCCTACACTACTGAGCGGTAAAAAACAAAAAGCTGTGTGAAAAATGGCCCGAAAGACACTACAGAAGCAAATGCACTATTGTGCATTGATTATCTTTCACCTGTCCTCTTTAGCACCTGCAAAAATGTGGAGTTCATGAGCTGGCTAAACAAATCACATCTTTGGTGCTTATGGCAGACTGCAACCATCGGGCACAGGAGCCCTTAATACAGCAAAATAACAGAATACGGAGCCAATTGTTTCTTAGGTGTGCACTTCGTCACGGTGGTATTAGTGGATTTAACACCCTCCCACGGTCCACTGAAATAAGCAGGCTTGCTCCACGTTGCTGACCAGCCACCCATGCATAACGCTCACTCCAAAAGCACGAAGAGAGAAGGCCGGGAGCCCAGAAGGCCTCCGGGCCAAAGAGCATGTGTGCATCCTTGCTATATTTAGGTAGCTTTGTTTCTTGTGATAAAGCCGATGAGACCCAGGAGACAGGAGAACTAAAAAGCGAATGCAGCATGTTGCAAAGTATGTTATACAGCAAAGCACCTGAAAATGGAGCCCAGCCAAAATATTAACGGTGCAAATCTGCATAAACAAGAGAGAAAATGAAACCAGGAAAATCCATAAATAATCTCAGTAAAGTGCTATGGGGCCGCCGAACGCCTGCCGCCGCGACACAGGAAGGTTATAGATAGTGGTTGGACTGATCAATAGGGACATTGCTAATTCCCCACCGCGCTCTCCCGCACACTGAGTTTTGCTAGCATTGGGCACACCAGATACATGGAAAGAAGGGAGTGCAGAGTGCTGGAAAGTGAAGGTGGTGTGCACGCCGAGCACTGTGGGATACCGGAGGACTGGCAACCCCTCTGTTGTGCCCCATGGGTTGGAAAGTGCTGTGCTGCTGCACCCCTGTTGAAAACAGGGTACAAGCATTCACTTGACTAGACAGACAGGATGCTCGGGAGGCTGTCGAGACTGTTCATGCCACGCATGGGATGTACGGTCACCCTAACAGCAGCACAGCCTCAGGCAGTTCGGCGCTCCAATGCTATCGACTGTACAAGTGTCCTTGTAGGGGTATCAATCCAATTCATAGGAGGCTTTTAAAGGCATCTTTCCCCCACTTAAAGGAAGGGATTATATCAGCAAGTAGCTTTGACTGCGAGTAAGAGTGAAGCTGCCTTTGCTTTAAAGGGAATGCTTTGACCGTTTGCTGAACTTGGATGTTCCCGTGTTGTGCGGCTTTGCTCTGAACTCAGTCCTATCGAGTGCTCTCACTTTTGTGCGGTAATAATGCAAGATTCAGTCGAACTTCAGGAAATAGATGTGCCGGGTCTGAACGTCATTTGTGCGCTCGAGGTCTTTGTTAGTCAATTTGGGGAGGGAGGTGCTGGGAAAATATACGGCACGCATAAAGAAAGGAGGAAGCGGCTGACAGGTCTTTTTCTCAATGCGGGCTCCTTTCGCAGCTGAATCTGGAGTGGTGCTACTTTCGAACATGCCGGAACAGCCCAGCTGGCTTTCTGTTTACATACCAGCCATTTTTCTGTCTGGAAGAGAGATCGGTGCTTTTGTATGGTGCCAGGGGCTCAGGGAGAAACTTGACTTGCCTTCAGTTGAATGATTTCTATGATAAAACCACTCTGTGGGGCTTCTGTTCAGGGGTAGAGCCCCTTACAATCACAGACAACGAGGGCTGGAAGGGACCTTGGGAGGTCACATCCAGTCCAGCCCCCTGCTCACAGCAGGACCAGCCCCAACTACATCATCCCGGACAAGGCTTTGTCTACTCAAGTCTTCAAAACCTCCAAGGATGGAGAGTCCACCACCTCTCTGGGTAGCCTGTTTCAGTGCTTTAATACTTTACTGGTGAGAAAGTTTTTCCTAATATCCAACTGCAACTTCCCTTGTTGCAGCTTGAGCCCATTGCTCCTTCTGTCATCTGCCCCACTGACACCAGTCCAGCTCCATCCTCTTTGCAGCCCCCCGGCAGGGAGGTGAAGGCTGCTATTCAATCCCCCTCTGTCTTCTCTTCTGCAGGATAAATCAGCCCCGTTCCCTCAGCCTCTCCTCACCAGTTGTGTACTCCATGCCCCCCAAACCATTTTCATTGTCCTCCGCTCCACTCTCCCCAATGTGTCCACATCCTTTCTGTAGTGGGGGCCCACAACCGGACACAGGACTCCAGATATGGCCTCCCCAGTGCCGAATAGAGGGGAAGAATCACTGCCTCGATCTGCTGGCATCGCTCCTGCCAATGCAGCCCAGGATGCCAGTCGCCCGCTTGGCACTAAGGGCACGCTGCTGGCTCCTGTTCAGCTTCTTGTCTATAGCCTCTCTACAGCAAACACCTTGGTAAGTTATATGCTATCATGCTGTTACAAAGGAGGAGAGGTCTCTTTAGGGGTCAGGAAGGGATTTTACCCCACAGTCAGATTGTTGTGGACCATGGGAGGTTTTGCCTTCCTTTGTATTTGGGAGATGTGGCCCTCTTTTTTGGATCTCCTGCATGGATTTGCACAACCCGTGCAGCATCAGGACATCGGCTGCCACGGTCTCCCTGCATTACTTGTGGCAGGTTC